AAACCTACATCAATTAATGGGTATATATCCGGTTAGGTACACTGTATATCAAGCTTTAAAAGGGGTTTGAATGATACCATTAAGTGATTGCACAGTTGTCATGGAATACCTAACAATATGGGAGCCGTGTTGAGGCTTGCAAAATTGAATGCATGTTTGTTCGCTGCCAGTCCCATGATATACAATGCTCTGTTTCTTCTCTGTGCTTAAGATTCATGTTTTTTTATCAGCTAGAGTTGAAAAAGAAAAGGGGGGGAGGAATAATCCAGTTGAAAGGCACAAATAAATTGTGCTAGTAAGCAGAAAAACTGTTACATCCTCCAAATGTAATTTTGCCAAAAGCTTCTGTGCAATTATTTTCTGCCACGCTTTGCATTATGAAGGAAAATGGTCTTTTTTGAGAAGAACAGGGAGAAGGATTTGCATAATAGTCTTTGCAAGTTAATATCGGCCTCCGATAATGATCTCTGTATAACATAACCTTTGAAAAGGCCTGTTGGCAACCGTAAAGTAATCATCTTTTAAATTTCCCTTTAAGGGAAGGTGTTACAAAAACAGACGCAAATGGACAATTTGTCAGTTCAAGTCCTAGAGAAACGCCTCCCACTGTTACAGGCTTGGGATACTGTTGGTGGAGAAAAGGCTTCCAAAGGAGACAACACAGCTGGCAGAGCTTAGAAAAAAGTTCAGCTTTTGGGGACTGCAACTCCCAGTATCCACATTCAGCTTGGCCAATGTTCAGAAACAGGGAACTTTTCCCAGGCTCTTGTTGTGTGCCATCAAGTCGCTTCTGACCTATAGACATCCTAAGATGAACTTATCGCAGGGATTTCTTGGCAAGATTTCTTCAGAGGGGTTTGCCTTCCTCTGAGGTTGAGAGAGTGTGACTTGCCCAAGGTCACCCTGTGGGTTTCCATGGCTGTGTGGGAATTCTGATCCTGGTCTTTCAAAGTCTTTGTCCAGCATTCAACCACTATGCCACGCTGGCTCTTTCTTCTACTGTGCTAGAAACTCTGGCTGATCTTATCTTGTTTGTTCCCAGCTAAGTATTCACATACCCCCAAAATGCCAATCTCAGAGCACAGCAAAAAATGCCAACCATTGCATGTACATACACCAAAAATGCCAA